TTCACAATAGCTAAGTCATGGAACCAACCCAAATACCCCCGTATGAAGGAATGGATTGAAAAACTGTGGCACATATACTCTATGGAATACTACTCAACCATAAAAAACAACAGAACCCTGGCTTTTGACAGAAAGTGGAAGAATATGGAAGATTTACTGCTGAGTGAGGCAAGCCAGGCTATGAAGAAGAGATATTATATGTCCCCACTTAACATATACCGTATGTCTGCATTTTATGACTGAAACTGATTGACTAATGGTTGAACAATCACAAGAGATGGGTGTGAATGTCAGATGAGGTGTATGTGGAGGAGTGGGGCCTAACGAAGGACATTTGGAGAAGGGATGCAGAGGTAGAGCATTGACAGGATGGGGAGGCGTGGCATTATCTGTTAAAGATATTTTGATCAACGGGTCTGGGGAGAAATGTGCACATATTGAAATGGTCTCATTGTAAGCCAAACAATATGATTGAAAGTATATACAAAAAAAAAAAAAGTTTCAATCTTTAGACTGGCAACCTCACCAAAATATCACCTGTAAAGGTCATTGCTGCATAATATCAGAACGTGCTTCTCTTAAAAAGAAACTTGGGGAGTCAACAAGTAGCATGGGGTTGTGGTGGCTGAATTCCACGTGGCCGACTGTGCGGTTTGAATCCCAGACTTGGTGGCTGGAAAAAAACATGCCAGACATGTGTGCGTGTGTACCCAAAATCCAAGAGGAGAAGGGATTGTGGCATGGCCATCCCCCTGGGGAGTGCTTTCTTGCTTTCCCTCTCTGTCTGTCTCTGGAGAGCACACATACTCCACAACAACACAAAAAAGAAACTTCATATTCCCGAGAAACTAATCTCCTGTGTCAGATTCATGGCTACTTGCCAATGGCTTCTTTCTGAGATAAACGGAATACATGTTTAAAACACGACAAGGCACAGTGAGTGGAAAACTCAGGGAGGTGAAGGTCAGATCCATTTGAAATGTTCCCTGGACAGGCTCAGATCCTCACACCTACCTACATCAACACTGCCGGAACTGACTGGAGTTTTTAATGCAAAAGTCCAAATATTGGGTCATTTTAGAAATCCTGAGACTGATCCAGCACTTATGGAACATTCAAATCAACTAAAGTTAAAAAAGACATCAGTTTGCTTTTCTCAGTTGGACAAGAAAATCAAAAGAAAGGTAGTAACTTTGGTGAGTGATACAGTTTCTCACTTATGTGATTTCTGGGATAAAACCCCAAAAGCACTCATGTTCTAGCTCCCTTTCCTTGGTCAGGAAGCAGTGAGGGCTGAAGAACTGTGACAAAGGGGACAGAACACGAGGTGGACAGGAGGAGACGAGGGCTGGCTTCCCGGTGCCACCCCTAACAGATGTCTGACTGGGGCAAGACACTGAGCTCTGCCCACCATCTTTTCTTCCCCTCCTGAGTGGGGCCAGCCTGTCCACACGAGCTTAAAGAACCAGACCACGTCATTTACATGGACACACTGCTAGGGAAGCGAAGAGCGCTGCTCATTACTACCAGCATTAACACAGCTGGACACGCCACTGGACTTACTGTGGTCATGTCTCCAACAACTTGTTCTTACTAAAGACTAGTAAATATTTTCCTTTACTTGAGAAGCTTATTGATAAATGCTAGTCTACACTAAGAAAGTACAAAATTACTTACTTACTTTCACTTGTTTAGTAGCTCTTGGTTTTAAGCAACACATTCACCTTTTTTTTTTTTTTTTTTTTTTTTGAGATTTTTGCTATAGGGCGCGTGAGCTTGCCAGAAAGGCAGAGAGACAGAGAGAAAGTGAGAAATCATCCCCCAGGGAGATGGTCACGCAGCAATCCCTTCTCCATTTTCCTCAGGATCTTGGGCACGTATGTACATGTCCCCGGCATGAGTTTAAGCCACCGGGTCTGGGACTTGAACCGCGGTCGACTACATGGGAGTCCAGCAACATAGCCATTACGCTAACTGCTGGTCCCACATACAACTTTAAAAAAAAAAATGACTTCTTCTGAGAGTTTAGAGGTGGTACCCCAACAGGGTCCTCATGCAGCAGCCCGCTCCCGGCCCCAGGCAGCCATGAAGACTTGGAAAGTGAACCCAGGGCCACCCATGTGGCCTCAGCTTGGGGACTGCTGTATTACCACTCTGCTACCGTGGTTGACGTTCATCTTTACTTACTTAGTCCCTTGGAAAAACAATTCTCTTTCATTCATTTTCCAAAAAGAGAGATAAACATACACTTTTTTCCCCCACCAAATAAAATGTACCAGACCTGACTCTCTCCCTTAAAAGCTGCTAGTAAGAACTGTGACTTACAAGTAAGGAGAGAAAATTTGGTAACATTCTATAAGTGGCAGATGTAGAATTTTCCTAAGCAGCTTTGAAAAATAAACAGTTGTGGGACCAGAGTACCAGAGTATAGCGTAATGGTTATGTCACTGGACTCCCACATAGCCGACTGCGGTTTGAGCCCCAGACCCAGTGACTTAAAACTCACGCTGGGCACATGTATGTGCATGCCCAAAATCCCAAGAGGAGAACGGAGGAGAAGGGACTGTAGTGTGGCTATCCCCCCACCCCCGGGGGGTGATTTCTTGCTTTCTCTCTGTCTCTCTGGTGAGCCCCCCCTAAAGCAAAATCTTTCAGGAAAAAAAAAAAAAAAGAAAAGAAAAAGAAACAGTTGTATCCTAAATAGGATGAAATGGATAATCCAGCTCAAGATGGAATTTCATGCTTAAATTAAAAGGAAGGGGGGCTGGCAGGTGGCATGGTGGTTAAGGTACTGGACTCCCATGTGGCCAACTGCTGTTCAAGTCCTGGACGTGGGCTTATTCTCTCATTTTCCTTTTCTCTCTTTCTCTCTGGTCAAATTAGAGAATAATAATAATAATAATATAATTAAATTAAAAAATAAATCAATTAATTCAAAGAAAGGATGAATTACCTGAAATGTTGATTGTCGGAGATCGCCTAAAGTTTTTCTTTTATCAAAGGTCAAATCCCACACACATTCTGATCGGGAGACGAGCGGGTGCAGCGCCCCATTGAAGAAGTGATATTGAGGGCCCAAGTGGAGATGCAATTCAATATTATTGTTTGCAGAATCATATTCTGCCCTTTAATAAGGCATAAAAAGTGCATAAACACTACGTTTCCATAGCAGATACTGCATTTAATCTCAAACGAAAAATTTGTGTTTAATTTATAATATAAGCTCTCCTTTCCACCTAAGCAAAGTCCTACTCTATGTGCCAAAATGATCATTTTTGTTTTAAAATCAATAGCAAAATTGAGTTCTTTCCAAGGGAAAGCTGCATGAACTGTGCAATGTTGAGCACATTTCACTGAACAAATGCTGTAATATAACCCCGAGACTGCATTTGTTATGAATGAAGAGGGAGGTCTGCCCAACTAAGCGGGCTAACCCGCAGGTTCACCGATCTCTGGGTCATGTGTCCGTGACCAGACTCCACGGACTCTCACAGACACTCAGGGTGACTACGGGGTTCCTGAGTCTGCGGCCTCCAGGTTGAACCTCAGCGTCAACCTGGTGCTGGCTGCCTTGCTCTGAATCCACCCCGCTGACTCCATGTGGTACCAAACACACTACCCTAGGCAGCAGGCGGCTGGCCAGCCTGGGGCTGGCGCGCGGCTGTCACCACCTCAGTGCTGCAGGCCCAGCACCAGCGACGTAGACGGAGAGAGCCTCCACTTTCCGGACGCCCACATCTACTCGGTCTCTCAGGCTGGCTGGCTACTACCACCAAAAATCTGTCGTCTTTGTTTTGCCTTTTTCTATTTTTACCATCAACTCCTAATCCAGGTCACTGGATTATTTTTTGAACATAAGGTAATTTGGATACTGTTTTTTGAATTTAAGATATTTCACTTGGTTACATCTTTGTCTTTTTAGGGTCTTGGTCATTGCTGAGCGTGACTCTGATCTCGGAATTCCACGCTAATTTTCTCCCGGCTCCAAGTCCATGATAAAATGTGGGGCAACCCCTGCCACATTACTGGCCACTTGAGTCCACAAGGAGACCATGGGAACCTCCATTTCTCTAACCCCAAACTCTCCTGGCCCTGTCAGAGAGCAAATAAAGAGCCAGGGAACAAGGTCAGGCCCTAAAAGAGAAGAGCGAGACAAGCAAGTTCTCACAAACCATCCCTTCTGCCCAAGCTTAACACTGTAGAATCCTTCCTTTGGAACATGGCCTTCCTCTGGTGCTGTCGGCACGTGCCGGTTCTGCAGAACTGCCTAGATAGCAGGCAGGACTACAAGGACGGGCTCTCCTTGTATCCAGGAATAACCCGGCCAGGCCAGGAGACAATTCATTCAGCCCAACTCTGCACGTGCTCACTGATTTCTCTAGTCTTAGGTTTCGATCCCTGATTAGCAATAGCCATTTTATGTCATTATTTACTTTAAGCCCACAGATTAAGATAATTTCAATTTAAAAGTTATTCTCGTTATAAAAATTCAACACCCAAATAAACACTTGCATTGACAATCTTTTCTTTTTCATTGTCATAACTGCTTTAGATCTTCATTCCCCAGAAAAGCCCTTCCAACTTTAAAAGTAATTTAAAATTACCTTTTTGTTTGCAGTTCAATGTTGGCCTCATCCATTTCATTCAGCAAATGACATGGAACCCTGTACCTCGGATTAGCTCGAGCTGTGAACAAAACTTGTTAGTAACTCGTGTCGGCTCAACTAAATCTGGATGCCGAAGAGGCAGCATGAAGACAGAAGAGAACTTGTGCTGGGAGCTAGAGAAGCTTTCCGGTGAGCGCGCCCTATAGCAAAACCTCTCAAAAAAAATAATAATAGATGCCAAAAAATAAAGCACTCTAAAGAGAGTGTAAATAAATTTGTCATGTCTTTTCCTGTTTTCCACTAACTTGACATTTGCCTTTTAGTCTTGTTTCTTTTTCTTTCCTTGGTTTTAAGCTTAGAAAAGTCTACCTTAAGATCAGATAAATATTTATATTTACACATTTTAATTTTTTTTTTTTGGAGAGGCTTTTGCTATAGGGCACGTGTGCTCACCAGAAAGATAGAGAGAGAAAGAGAGACAGAAAGCAAGAAATCACCCCCCAGGGGGGATGGTCACGCCGCAATCCCTTCTCCTCCATTCTCCTCTTGGGATCTTGGGGACACATGCACACGCGCCCGGCGTGAGGGGTAAGCCACCAGGTCCGGCACGTGAACCGCAGTCGACTATGTGGGAGTCCAGCGACATAGCCATTACACTAACTGCTGGTCCCCAAGACCTCTTTTTATTTACTTTTTGATATAATGTGTGTGCGCTCACCAGAGAAAGACAGAGAGAGGAAGAAAGTGAGAAATCACACCCCCAGGTTGGGGCGGGGCGGGGGGAGGCCATGCCACAATCCCTTCTCTTCTGCTCTCCTTTCGGGATTTTGGGCTCGCACACACACCCCCAGCATTACTCTCAAGCCATCAGGTGTGAGACTCTGTGAAGCTGGCCACATGGGATCCAGAGCCTTCACCACTATACCACTTGCTGGTCCTCTCATGTTTCTTACTGTCCACTTCAAAATAATTTAAAACGTCCTGAGAGTAAGTCTTCTAAAAGGGTTAAAGATTCAAACAGCACTTGGTGTCTATCTCCTAAAGACGTTGGCCTAGACAAATAGGAACATTTTTCTTTTCATACCTTCAGGGGGTCTCTGTAACCGGGATTTCCGATAAAACAACATGTAGGCACTTTCTTTACCCTGGAATTGCTTTTCAATATCCTTTTCTTTGATTGGTTGAACTCTGGAATCGTTTATGTCAAACCAGTGGGGACAAGAGGTGCTATCGTCTGACCCTAGTGGTTTTGAAGGGCGCATCTGGAATATGTGCCGGTCATTCCTGTGGAAGTCAGCCTTGGCCTGGAGAGGCGGGTTCTTCAGCAGACTGACTGTACTCTCATCCGAACTGAGCAGGAAGACCTGAGAATGGAGCTGTAAGAACTACACAGAAACAGAAACATACTGAGTTAATAAAAAAAAAGGATATGATAAAAACTGCAAAGAAAACAGAATTTGTAGTGAAGGGAGAGCAACTCTCTGATAAGGCCTTTTTTGTTAGTTTGTTTGTTTTAAAAGAGAGATTTTTGCTAAAGGGCACGTGCGCTCATCGGAGAGACAGAAAGAGAGAGAAAGTGAGAAATCACTCCCCAAAGGGATGGCTACACCACACTCACTTCTCTGCCATTCTCCTCTTGGGACTCTGGGCATGCACACACAAGTGCCTGGTGTGAGTTTTAAGCTACTGGGTCCGGGACTCGAACTGCAGTCGACTACGTGGGAGTCCAACAACATAACCATTACACCATATGCTGGTCCCTGATGAGGTTTCTAACTTCATCTTTATTTTTAGTCTGGCCAGCTCTGCACGAGAAATCCATCTGGGGCCAGCAGGTGGTGTGGTGGTTATGGCACTAAACTCTCACATGGCTGACTGCGGTTTAAGTCCTAGACCTGGCGGCTTGAAAATCATGCCACGTGTGTGGATGTGCATGCTCAGAATCCCAGGAGGAGATCGGAGGAAAAGGGACTGTGGCATGGCCATCCCCCTGATTTCTTATTTTCCCTGTGTGTCTCTTTCTGATGAGTACATGCACTCTACAGTAAAAACCTAAAAAATAAAATAAAATACAAAAGGAATCCATCTGAGTGTAATAAAGCATTTCATAAACCTGAGTGTTCCATTAAGCAGTCTAATAGCTAAGGGGAAAGCTGCCATGCCAAAATCTACAAAGCATTTTAATTATACTAACACCGTTTAAACAAAGTACTTAACTAGATTCGGTTCCACACACATTTTTGAAATATTTAAAAGTAATCTAAACAAAGCACAAAACAAAGGAAACCACGCAGGGCCCACTCTAAAAGATCATTTTTAATCCAGTGATCCAAAAAGACACTGCTGGGGCAAAGCAGTAATTACAAACCTAACTTTTCGGGGACCAGCAGATGGCGTAGTGGCCACACTGCTGGACTCCCACATGGACAACTGCAGATCAAGTCCTGGACATGGTGGCTTGAAAATCACATGGGGTGCATGTGCATGTGTACCCAGGATCCTGGGGGAGAATGGAGGAGGAGGGATTGTGCTGTGGCCATCTGCCCTTGGTCTCTCACCGTCTCTGCCTCTCTCCCTCTCTCTGGTCAGCGCTTGTGCCCTAATGCACATAATGTATAAAACTGCTTAAAAACAACGAGAAATCCCTAATGTATCTTTTAACATTAACAAAGTTGAATGTTGTCTGTTCCAGAAACCCATGGGCAAGCTCCGAAAATCAAAGCACAACAAGTTTTAAGTCACAATCCCGAATTCTCTCAAGTTCTTGCTAACAGATCAAGAGAAATCTCTATCCCACTGCTCCTCCCTCCCCTTCGCCTCTCCTCTGCCCTCCCCCCCCTCGATGTGGCCTGGTATCTCCTCCTTTTCTTTCACTGCCATTAACTTTACACAGAAAACCACTGGGGAGCAAATGTAACATCTGCTTACCCCACCAACAAACCTGGAAAGATGGTTTCTAATGTTCCTCTTGGAAAGAAAGTCATTCATTGTAATATCAGCTCTCTTATCAGAAGTACCATTTTATCACGAGCTGAAGGGCACAGGGCACACGACCCAAGGACGATATTGTTAATACTGTGCACGAGAACAGGTGGCGGAACAGCTTGTAGCTCATTTGTTTTAGGCACAATAAATTATCAACAAATGGAAAGCTCCGACTGATGAATGTTCTGAGTGCTGCTGTGGTCTGGCTACTGTCGGCCTTCAGCAGTTCCAGTGCTGGAAGCTCAGTCCCAGTATAATGGTGCTGCGGGAAGGGGCCTGGTGGGCTTGAGTTACCGAGGCATGGCCTTCGTGAGTGGGCAAGGCCATCTTGTAGGAGGCAGACAGAGAGGGAGTCTTTGCTCTTACGGGAATGGTTAGTTCCACAGAGAAGGGTATTATAAAAATGGCTGCTCACAAAATCTCTCTCCCTGTACAAAACCGCCTTCTCTGCTTCTGTCAGCCATGTTGTGATAAAGGACCACTAGCCAGTGAGATGCCCACCACAACTGTGAGCCTAACAAGTCACCATCATTTATAACTGACCGCTGTCCAGTATCTGCTTAGCAATGCAGTAAAAGATTAAAACAATAGTTGAGGGCAAACTATTTTTTGAGAGAGAGTTTTGCTATAAGGCATGTGTACTTGCTGGAGAGACAGAAAGTCTCTGCTGAGAAATCACCCCCCCAGGAGAAAGGGCCACACTGAAATCCCTTCTCCTCTATTCTCCTCTCAGGATTCTGGGCATGCACACACACTCACCTGGCCTGAGTTTCAAGTTGCTAGGTCCAGGATTTGAACCTCAGTCAGCCATGCAGGAGCCCAGTGCCTTAACCACTGCCACCTGCTGGCCCAAGGACGAATTTTTCTTTCCTTTTTCTTTTCTTTTTTTTTTTTTTTTTTGTGTGGTTTTTTCTATATCACCAGAAAGACAGAGAGACAGAAAGCGAGAAATCACCCCCCAGGAGGGATGGCCATACCACAATCCCTTCTCCATTCTCCTCTCGGGATCTTGGGCATGCATGCACATGCACCCGGTGTGAGTTTAAGTCACCGGATCTGGGACTCGAACTGCAGTTGACTACATGAGAGTCCAGCGACATAGCGATTATACCAACTACTGGTCCCCCAAGGATGAATTTTTAAGCTTCAAATGTCAGGGCAGTCTGATCCTAGTAATGGAAGAGAGCTTTTCTTTGGGTAACTATTCTGATAAAAATGATTGATTCTAGACAAAACAGTAAGATGACTGTTTGAAGAGTACCTAAAAGTGGGCATAAAGTGGAAAGGACACAGTGTTTCAAAGAGGAGACGCAAACTGGGGATCCTGCGTTCACACCCCGCTTCCCAGTTGGCAGCAGTGGGTGGTGGCGGAGAGCTTACCAACGAGACACGGTCTCACTGGGTTGAGGAGACAGAGCTCGAGAATATCAGAGCTAGAAAGTGAAAAAGAACGTTTCATAAAGGAGCCCCAACTCTGTGTAAAATCCCCCTAAACCCTTGGCTAACTCCTGACTGGTGGATGAATAGCCCAAGACTCCAAGAAAGCCAGCGGAAAGCGGCAGCTAGGAGGCCAGCCTCTGAGGGAGCCGCCTGCTGTGGAGTAGGAGGAGCCGGAGACCACGCCTGGTAGATGGGAGGGGGCGGCATGCGCTCTACAGGAACAGGTGTGACCATTGTAGAGGTGAAATGGAGGATATTACGTAAGTACTTCTGTTACTTTTAAAGGTAATCAACTAGGGGCCAGCAGGTGGCGTGGTGGTTAAAGCAGCTGGACTCCCACATGGCTGACCAATTTGAGTCATCCCAGAACTGGCAGCTTGCTTTCTCACTTTCATTCTCTCTCTCTCTGGTCAACTTCAAAAAAGTGAAAAATAAAATAATGACAATGAATAAAATGAGAGGCAAGGCATTTATGGGACAAAGAAATGGGTTATTATCTATTGAAGATAACTTTGCAGTACTGGTAACTGGACTGGTGAGAAATGTACACATGTTGGAATATTCTCTTTACAAGCTAAGTAACATGACTGAATGTATCAAAGAAATTGAAATTAAAAATTAAAGGGAAAAATTTAAATAAAATAATTCTTAAAAAAAAAAAAGGTAACCACTTAAAGTGGCAAAGAATGGGGGCCAGCGGGTGGCGTAGTTACGGCACTCGGACTCTCACACGGCTGACTGCAGTTCAAGTCCTGAATCTGGCAGTTTGAAAATCATGCCAGGTGTGTGTGCATGCATGCCCAAAATCCTAAGAGGAAAATGAAAGAGAAGGGATAGCAGCATGGCCATCTCCCTGGGGGTGATTTCTCACTTTCTCTCTCTCTATCCTCAGCGAGCACACATGCCCTACAGTAAAAACTCTTTCAAAAAATAAAAATAAAAAGATTGTGGGGCAAGCAGGTGGCAGGGTGGTTACAGTGCTGGATTCCCACAGGGTCAACCCTGGTTTAAGTCCTAGACCTGGAGGCTTGAAAATCATGCTGAGCATGTGTGCATGAATGGCCACAATCCCAGGAAGAGAACAGAGGAAAAGGAACTACAATGTGGCCATCCCCCCGGGGTATGATTTCTCACTTTCTCTCACTGTCTCTCTCCAGCAAGGGCATGTGCCCTATAGCAAAAAAACTAAAAACAAAACCGAAAAAAAATCAAAAGATTATTCTTAGCTTGGGACTGCAGGCCAGTTTGCGATGTCTTCCCTTAAGAGGAAGGTCCACGTCCTAGGACTAAGGGATATTCCCTAGGACTAAAGGCAAAATTACAATGATACACCCTATCAGGCCCAAAGTGAAGCTTCCACAGGATAGAGAAGGTTCAAATACAATACAAGGGCTCATTGGAAAGCAATGCAAATTTTTTGGAGAAAAAGAATATAATCCAGAGTCTCTACAACACCTGATCCCAATGTTCATTCCTAACAGATTATCCTGGGGGCGGGGAGAGTGGCAGGCTAGGGTCAAAGAGTACAAAGCCTCAATTAAGACAGGCCAGGAGTTGAGATACACTGCAGAGCCTGGTGAATATAGTAAATAATAATGTATTGTACATTTCAAAATCTCTGAGAGTAAGTTTTAAATGCTTTTTCACCACCAAAAATGGTATTTGAAGTGATCGATACGTTAATTAACCTGCTTTAATTATCCCATACTATATTCGTAAATCATATCATCATTTTGTACCTCATATACACACACAACTATAATGTGTAAACTTATCATTAAAAAATAAAAATTTATATTAAAAAGATATTACATGCAGTGAAATAGAAAAATGTGATTCATAATCAAAGATGGAACAGTCAATTCATAACAGAAAAAGAGTCAACAGACATACTCAAATAGCAAACAACTGTTGGAAATACATCAAAACATTTACAGAAACAATCCGAATGTGTGTGCACCTACTAACATGCTTTGCTCCTATAGGAAACTTCTCGGAAATGTTTACTAATGTCCTCCTCTTTGCCTGTTTGTCTTCAAGCTGTTCTCTCTTATTACTGGCAGTATCTGTTTTTGCATCTAATCTTATAGTCACGAAACCAGCTCACCACCAAGCTTAGTAAGATTTTTGTGTTAAAAAAAGTACATTATCAATAAAGTGATATGATACCCTTCGGGGTACGAACTCAGTGACTATTTTCACTGCTGTGATTTGGGGTTACCCCTCCCTCCCTTCCTTTCTTTTTTTGGTCTACCTCTTAGTTCTACGATAAATAACTTAATAAGTGATACTTAATAAAGAACTTGACTGAATTAGTTTTTCCATGCTACTTGTATTTTATTATTACTTTTTATATATTCAATTGCTATATATCATTTAGCTTATACAGAGAATTTACCCAACATGAAATACACAAGCCAGTCCAGTTGAGACTACTATACGTGTCACCACCTACGGTAATAAAGCATCTCTGTGTCCCACAAATGTCTTACCTTTCTATTTTTTTCTCCCTAGTCTCTTCCCTACA